ATCAAGCTCTATCAAACTCTGAGGTTGAGGGACGTAGTTGTTTTCTCTTGTTTTGGTATTGCACTCTTGAACAAATTACAATTTTAGATGTTCTTGCAATTTTAAATGATAAGATCTAGACACAAAGAATCCTTTCTGACTGTTAGTTGGCATTGTGAATCATATGGAATTACTTTGGTATTTCAGTACATGAACAGGAATATTGAAGTAAAAAAAAGCTTGCAGTGTAAGGTGCAAAAAAGCTCAAAAGAATTTCATCAGTCTGTTTGAAGACGACTAAATACTTTTTATTTAGTGAACAAATAGGCATTTAACAATGTCCCCAAACATATCACATTATCTGGAGCAACACTCAAATTCTGTGATTCCAGTCTGCCCAGACATCATGCATCAAATGCAACTCTAAGTATTACTGATTGTATGGTCATTCTTTCCTTTATCTTTTTCTGTTTTGGCAATGCTGAACCTAGCAAGAGGAAACCAAACATACTCTGTTTGCTCTTGGCTTCAGTGAATCCTAACCACAAAACAGCAGGCTGATTCCTCTTGTATTGAGTGCCATTACTGTAAGAGGCCTCAATAGTTGGGCTGCATGCTGCTTTTAGTTGCACTTTGAGCTCTTCAGTTAAACTGGATGTGGTAATCAGACATATGCCACAAAACCTACCAACACAGGTCAATTAATTCTCCATCCAGGTTCTGTTACTCCTATACAAGATGACTGGTAGTTCAGTTTGTCTCTGTCTGTTCAGGCAAGGGCAAACAGGGAGGTTTGGGTGGTAGCAATTCGAGAGAGACAGTGGTTCATTGAGTATCAGGTGGATGCTTTTGGCTGTAATGGGAGAGGCAGCCCCAGCAGAAAGTGTAAGAGAATTTATACTGATGAATGAGCTGGCATGCTTGGACACAACAGTTATTTCTTTTCTTTTCCTAATCTTAGTGAAGAAACGTTTTTATGTTTGCAGAGTATTCTTTGTATTTGTTGATGTTCAACTTTAATCTACAGCCAGCTTGAGTTTACTTTTTTACTGTGCTGAACGTTGCCTTCAATCTCAGTTTCAGAGCTGTGTAAATGAATTACAGTGAAGCGTTTAATAAAATTTAATATCAGGTGCTGCTCACAAACTACTGTCTACTCAAATATGATTTGCAAATCTACTTTTAAGTTTTTACATCTGTCAGGATGAATAGTTGGAGGTCATTTACCTGTGATTGGTCACACGTTGGATGTTTGTTACCTTTACTGAGTGGACAGCCTAAAAACAGTAGCTGAATATTGAAGGACATATGAAGGTCATAGATCTGAATGAAAGAAAAGGATGTAGTATGTGTGAAAACACACTAAACTGAAGTATTGGTCCATCTTTCTCTTTAGATAAATTGTCTTAATTCTGATGAGTAATTGTCCTAAATAAATTGTATACGTAGCATTTAGCTTTCTAAAATACTTATGGTTTCTTCGTCATCTGTTTTTGATCCTCTCTCATCTATTTTTGATCTATTTAACTTGTACTTTACATTTTTAATTCCCATAGTATTTGCTAAGAAAGTGAAGTTTTAAGATTGTATATGACAGCTTCAGGATTCCAATTGCCACCTGCTTCGTACAGTTATGTATGCTTTTCCTTTCCAAGCGCTAGCTATTGTGTTTTTTTCTACCCTTGACTAGGTGAAGAATGCTGTTTGTTCTCTTTAATTTTGGAGAGAAGTAAAAGAGACTGAGAAAAGACTCTTGGCTTCCCTGATCGTGGCATTTTCAAAATCTTGACTTTGCAGATTTTGTGGGATTTTTATCATAATTTTTAAGATGGAATGTTTACAAATCATTGAGCATCATCTTAGGATTTAGAAACTAATAACAAGTCTAACATAAAATAATTACCTTTTCTAGAAATGTTTGTTTTATTACTTACCCTTACTTCATTTCATGCATGGGGGAATACTCCTGAATTCCATATTGCACATCACAATTTGCTCCAAAATAGTCGTATCTTTGAAACAGCATAGCATGAAACAATTTGAAGAGTAAGTACCCAATTCAAATGGATAAAACAGTTCATTGTTTAGTCGTTTTCTAGTTTTAGGGTAAGAGGATTTACTCTTCCATATCTAAATCAAGTATACAAGTGCTCTTTTTCAGCATCTGATAAAAGGATGAGTTCTTTTTTGTTTTATGAATAAAATTATCCTACCAAAGGAAAGCAATATATCAAGCATGGGTTATTGCGGGTGGGGTATTCTACTTTCTTAAATCTGGAATCTATAAAATGAGAAATATTTCCCATAGTAAGCATTTTTAAAACAGGAAAAGAAAAACACAAAATAAACCCGTATCTTTATTCATTGTTTTTTGAGTTAAGACTGTTGTGACTAAAACAGAACTCCATGCAACATAAATAGCTATTTCTCAGCAGATTATTGAGAGGGTAGCACTTTTTGGCTTAATATACTTTTCTCTAGCATTATTTTAAAATTATACATTTAATCTTTCATATTAGAAACAAAGGATCCAATTGACTGAGCCCCAGCACTTACAGTAACAGCAAAACTGACTACTCTGAGCTGGTGTTGTTGTATTGTATGTGGTTAATTAGAGCTGAATGATTCTCTATGTATTACAAATTTTACATTGCCTTCAGGTGTACAAGAAAGGAAGAAGTAGGAACCTTAAAAACTTTTTCTCAGTCTTCTCTTGTAGAGTCCATATGGTGCTTGGAAAGGACCAGCAAGCAGCACTTGAAAGTGTGGTGTGCATCCTTAAATTAACAAACAGCAGTCACTAAATACATTAATAATTGTGCAAACATGTAGTATTCTTGTTTACAGAATGGTAGATAGCACCCTGGAGGAGCAGCTAGCAAAAATAACACGAAGAGGCATGTGAATATGGGCAGGCATCTCATTTTCACAAAGGCACACTGTTGAAGCAAGTGATTTGATACTTCATTATGTCATACCTTTGCGTATTGATTTTGCAGTTTCTCGTATGAGTGATGAAAGCCCTGATTTTCAGGTTGCTTGGGGGTAATTGGTAAAAGCATTGGGTCCAAAGGAATTAGAGGTCTCCCTAGAAATCAACTCATAGATAAGCTGTCAAACTGCAAGACTTTTGAGACCAGTAATTATTTCACTTCAGTGTACCTATTGACTTCTGTAGGTACAAATGAAAATAAAGCCAAGATCTACAAAATGAGGCAAATCTGCGAGAACTTCTGGGAAGTAGGCTGATGAATTCATTCCTTTTCTTCTTTTGAGATGGTCTGTGTATAACTGCATTAATTCTGTGAGATCTTTTCAGACAGGAGTGTCAAATTAGGTAAAAACGTATCACATCTTGCAACAGAACCAAAACTTAATGCATGTGGTTTTGTCATACTTTTCAATATAACAATCACACAGGAAAGTTTGTGTTGTATTTCAGCTTACAGTCACAATTTGAATTTTTATATTAAATAGTTTTCATGTTCTTTAGGTAGTGAAAACCTACATGTGTTAAAAAAATTCTGTACAAAGTGCATGATTTTTTGCTCTTATATTTCAGTACCTGATGTAAAACCTGGTGTTTACCTGTTACAGAAGTGTTTAATTACTTTGGTTGAGCTTTCTAAAGACTGTTTATACAGCACTGGTGACATGTTATAGACTTAGAAACTTGTTAACTTGAAAATTTAATGAAATGTGTTTAAGAAGACATAGACTTTGGCAAGAAAGAAATTTATGAATTCAATTCACATGTTAAAGCACAAACTCATAATGTTTGGATAGAATTGTATAAGGGTAAACACTTTCTTAAAATACCTGTGTTTAGGAATCTAGTGAAATTTCACACATCCTACGCTGCCAGAATAACTGTTGGAAGAGTGTAAACAGTTTGTGTGAAGATGTCCAAAATCAAAACTGTTGACTTTGGCAGTGAGTCCATAGTTACTGAAACTGAACTGAAAGAGAATTTTTCCATCCTGTACTGCTCATCTTGTTTTGTTTTTTAAATGTTTGTGTAATATTTTTGTATGGTCTTGTTGTATTTTGTGTAATAACTGTGTAAGGGGTTTAGAGGTACTAAGATTTTCTTTAGTGTCCTGAAATCTTCCTAAAAACAGCCTACAAGACTAATTATCTTCATACTTTGTCTTTGACAATTGCTATATATGTGTGAGACAAATGCAGCTGGTTACTCTTAAATTTTGTGTATGTAGATGCATATATTTATATATATGTACATAAACATAAGTAGATTAATAAATATATGTATACTTACTAAATCTCTAGAAACACTTCTTGAATGTTTTATCCAGCACTGTCCCTGCTTGACATATTCTTGCACTGTCCTAACTAAAGTGCTGAAGATCATCCTGTAAAGACTTTGTAGTTAGTTGGATGTGATTTTAAATAATATAAAAACATTAGTAGAAAAGCATCAGTGTGGCATAATCTGTTGTAAATGTTTTATCTAATGCTGGATAACTTATAAGTAAATACTTCAGCACTTATGCAAGGTTACTGAATGAGCATACAAGACCCTGTAATAAAACTGTCTACTGGTAGAGAGTGTAAACCTAGGTGTTGCCACATGACCTGCTAAATCATTCACTCTTTCTTGAAATGCTTTACAAGACTTTGGTTCCTTTAAAGAGTAGAGGTAAAATAAAGTACAGGTTAGTTGTTATCCCTTACAGAGTTGTAATTGCATTCCTTTAACTAACAAGGAGGAATTCTCATCAGAATCAGCAGCATTTATAATAATCATTGGCAAGAAATAAAATTCTGATTTTTATCACTATTGTGGAATTGTTTGAAAACTGCCAAGATGGAAATGTATTTGTCAGATTTAATTATCAAGCTCTTTGCTCTTACAGGTCTTCCTATTCCAGTAATTAGAAATAAGGTTAAGCAGAACTCCCAGCTGCTTGTAATTACACAGATAACTTTGTTTCTGTGGAATGAGCACTCTCTCTGCTGTGTTGTTGTCCATATGCCCTGAATTTTGTCTTCTCTTTCAGGCAGAACTTGTTGATATACAGTATGGGACCATAGAAGACTTGATCCGGATTCAAACCACTACAAACGTGACCAAAAAAATTGCACTTCTGAAGCTAGGACAATCACCTTTACTTTATAAGGTTAGATTTATGCTTGATCTACAGTATCTCTTACATTTATTTTGCTGCGTATCTTAGAGCGCTCCAGTATTATGCTGTGTTTTAGCTGTGTACTATAAGCCTTTTGGCAAATAAAGAAATCCTTAAATGAAATAATAAAGTACAAGGCCAGATTCAAGGCCAGATTGGATGGGGCCCTGGGCAGCCTGGTCTAGCATTAAATGGGGAGGTTGGTGGCTCTGCA